GGGAGGAGGGTAGAGAGAATAGTGCAACAATGAATGAATGGAAACCCAAAATCTCTGTAAATGTTTATGAAAATTAATAAAAGATAGAAAAAAAAGAATTGGAAAGTTTAAAATTATTTTTACATTTTCTAAAAATAACAATGTGAGTATTGATGCATAATTTCTTTTAAGTATGTTTTTTATTTTTATTAAGTCATTTTTATTCTTTATATGGATTTATTAAGTACTTTTTCATTCTATATGTACAAGAAAAATTACTTAAAAACAGTGGTAATTGGAAAAAAGCTGTTGGAATGGGAGGTGTGTAAAGTCAAGAAGAGCAAAAAAGGATATGATGGCAAAATGGATGTGATCACTGTTTATGGTATACTTAGTTTGAAATATCTAGCTTTAATATTATGTTATCATTTTATGTGTAAGTGATTTTACCGTCACTAAAATAGCACCTAATTAATACATTCACATAATGTATAAAAATGTACTGAGTGCCACAAATTCTCCTGCTGCTGAATTTATTTATAGCAATGCAAACTGCTAAATGTATGCTTTTTATGTCAAAAGCATTTCTTTTGGTAAATGTTTGCTATTTGCACTTTCCTTCAAGGGCAGTCATAATTTTGTACCACCATTCAGTATGAGAGGTCGTCAAAATAATTCGTTTAGAAGTCATTCTTCATTTACCAAAGACTTTAAACAATTTATGAAAGTTATAGGTGAGATTGCTTGTAGTTTTTTTTTCAGGCCATAGTCTATAGAAGCTTATCTGAAACAAAAATTGTTAGATCAGGTGATTTTTGGCTGGAGGTTGGTGATTTCAGGGAAGAAGATAGTGAAGGAAATGGGTTACTATGGGGGAAGATGGCTAAGCAAAGACAAGGTCTGGAGACTGGCTGCAGTCTGATTCCACAGGGATGCTGTGGAGCAGAAGCAGTACCACTGATTGGTCCCATTTTGAGGCAAGTATAGCCTTGTATTCTCTACTATTTCTAAAGGAGATGCTATTTCTTGGAGAGGGACATCATGCTTGGAAAAGTGTAGTGTCAGTGAAAGATAGGAAGACCTTCAACAAGATGGATTGACACAGTGACTGCAGCAATAGACTTGAGTGTGTCAGAGGTGATGAGGATAGTGCAAGATAGGACAGGATTCAGATCTCTTTTTTCAGAGGGTTACTATGAGTTGTACTCGACTCGATGGCACCTAACAACAATAACAATGTCCGAAGGCCATTGGTTATGTTTGGCCTTTGAAAAAGTCTTCCTGGATGAAGCAGCTCCCATTTGACCCAACATGGTTTTCTAGAGAAGAGGAGAATCTAAATTATTGGTCAAGGCTAGCAGGATCTTGATGATGAAATGCCAGCTGGAAAAGGCAATCTTGGCAGGCGCCATACACATCCACTATATTGATGACTATATAATTAAAAAGATGGAAAACATGTTGGACCTCTGTTCTGTCATGTCACCTTCTAATAGGACATCCACAAACAGAAAAAGTTTAAATGAGAATCTGAGCTTGTCTCTGTGTTGCTTGCTCGTGATAATAGAGAAATTATGTGGCTAACTCTGCTGTTAAAACACCTTCTTGTTGCCATGAATAAAAAGATGTTCCTTGAGAGAGGACCTGAGATATTGTCTATGAAGAATTGAGGGCAATTCACATGCCAAGTATACTCAAGTAATCCTTTCTCCCTGCTTACTGTTGTGAGTTTGAAATACTTTATTCACAGAAGCCTTGGACTGTCAAAAAATTCATAATTGATTCATACAGGACCAAACCTTTAGTGTATTCATTGAATAAATGCATCTCAAACTCTTCTTTCTCTACAATTGATAATTATGTTTAGTACTCAAAGTACTAGAGAGCATTGTGCTTTCAGGTGGAGGCCCTCAAGTCCTCTTTTTCTCCTCATAATAGAGTTAGGAGAGAGAATTTTCTTTTCTCTTTTGAAAAAGACTTTTTTCCCTTTCTAGCTATTTAACGCAGATAATGAAGTGCTTTACAAAACTAGGTAACCTTGTATGAGGACAGTGGAATTCCCATTAGTGTCACTGATACAAAAGGTTTTACTCTATTTTCAATTGTCAAATATTTTAAAGGGAGATAGAAGGCATAAAGAGGAAGTCGTTGAATTTCTCAATTAACTTAAAGTCAAAGACCACTGATAAAGTAGAAATAAACAATAACCAATTTCCATCTTAGATCAAAGAAGTATTTGCTGCTAATAATATTCCCTCTGATTGCATCTGTATTTGATTATGCTAATTTATTAAGTAAGAATAATAATATGCAAATACACTTAGGATACATAGCAGATTAATTCTGCTTATAGTTTAAGCTGATACTACAACTTTTTTTATTCTGCTTCAGGCTTTGCTAATACTTTATATAGAACAAAAATCCAGCCAGTGTCAAGGCTTCTAAAGTGAAAAAGACCTTTCTAATGGCTGACATGTTGTAGAGAAAGAGACTTAAAGCAATTTTATTTATAAATTATTTCTTTAGTCATGTAGAACGTGACAACATTTACCTTCTTTCACTGCCAATATCTAGCCTTATCCCCACAATTTAAGAAATTGAGGGGATAACTTACTGTTAGAGTTAAACCATAAATAATTGCCTTATTTTTGTTGTTAGGTGCTATTAAGTTGTGCTTGACTCCCAGCGACCCTATCAATGATAGACCTGAACCTTCCCCTGTCCTGTGCCATCCTTATCATCTCTGACACACTAGAGCCCAATGCTTACGTCATTGTGCCAATCCATCTCATAGGAGAATCTCCTCTCCTAAACTGACCCACCATCTCTCCAAGAATGATGCCCTTTTCCAAGGAGCAGCCATTCCTAGCTACGTGTCTAAAGTATGAGAGGCGAAGCTTCGCCACCTTTGTCTCCAGGACGCACCCTAGCTGCCCTTTATCCTAGACATATCTGTTTGTTCTTTTGGCAGTACTTTAAAAAAAATTATTGTAATTGTGATTTTAATGAACGTTTTCCGAAAAATTGAATTTTCATTCATTGATTGTTGCATTTTTCTTCTCCCCCTTCCTTACCCCTCCCTCGGTTCACTTCCTTTTTAAAAAATATTTATTCATTGTTGCACACTCCCCTCCCCCCTTCCCCTTCCCTCCCCCTCCCACAGTCCTCTTGGCAATGTGCTTCTTATTCTGGACCTTGTCTTACATATCATGCCTAATCATATATTTCTTTTAAACAGTTCTCCCCATCTATTCCAATATAGCGTTCATTATCCACTAAGGCATAAATGCTTCTTCTATCATCCTTATTTATTCTCTGGCGATTAGCATAGTAGATGATTGAGAAGACCAGGGTTGAATCAGGCATACTTGAGTCTTCAAACTGACGTAATATCTTTTGAGTATTTTGGAGAGGTCCTTGACACTGGACTTGCTCAGTGCAATATATCTCTTCATTTCTTGACTGCTGGTACCAAAAGTGTTGATTATTGATCTAAGCAAAATGAAATTCTTGACAGCTTCAATCCTTTCTTCATATATCATCCTATTAATTGTTGGTCTTGTATAGAGGACTTTTGTTTACTTTTCTTAAAAAAACTTTCTAAGTTTATTTTCATATCCATAATACTAAAAATACTGAGCATATGAAAAATTATACTGAGTCGTGGAGTTCTTAATACAGATTTTGATAATTGAGACTTTAGAATTTGCAGTTTTCTTTAAGTAACCATACAAATGTTATCACTTACATTTATGTGGTTTCTGCTGCTTTTTTTTCTTTCTTCTTCTGCTTTTCCATGTCAAGCTAATGAACGTTCCATCTTGTAGAAAAGCTTAGGTTTATAAATGTTACAAAGTTCTTTGTTGTTAGGATCTTTATTTTCTTGATATTGAGATGTGATCCTTAGTGTATGTTTATAAATGGTACAAGGTTCTTTGTTGTTAGGACCTTTGTTTTCTTGATGTTGAGATGTAATCCTTACTGAAGACTAATGTCTTTGGTCTTCTGCAGCAAGCATTTCCATATCCTCGTCACTTTCAGCAAGCAAAGTTTTGTTATCTACATAATGCAGATTGTTAGTGAGTCTTCCTCTTATCCTGAAGCCACATCCTCTTCATAGAGTCCAGTTTCATGAGTTATTTGCTCAGCATACAGATTGAATAGGTATGGAGAGAGGATATATCCCTGATGCACACTCTTCCTGATTTTAAACTGTGCAATTTCCCCCAGCTCCATTTTAATAACAGCTTCTGGTCTGGACATTGATTTCTCATGAGCACAATTAAGATTTCCATCCTTCTCAATGTTAGCTATAATTTGTTATGACCCATACAGTCAGATGCCTTTGCATAGTCAATAAAACACAAATACTTCTGGTATTCTCTTCTTTTAGCTAGGATCTACCTGACATCCGCAATGATATCTCTGGTACTATGGCCTCTTCTAAACCTTCTAAAGAAATACTTCTAAATTTTTCTAAATAAATGTCTTACTCTGCCTTAACTTTCCTTTATATGTGCTCATTTAACTGTCTTTATTTATATTTTCCTTTCATCTGAAGATGAGTATTTCATTAAATAACCAAAATTCCTTTTTAATATGTGTTTAAAATTTTAGTTTCTAATTTTTCTAAGTTTTATATATTGATGACAAACATATCTTTATAAACAAGATAGAACAAGTAATGAAATATTGGGTAAAAACCTCTTTGTACTAAAGTTAATATTTTTTCTATTCTAGACCTTAAATTGGGTTAGTATATTAGAACACATACATACAAATCTCATTTTAATTATTATTATTATTATTATTGCTTGCTAGTATTTTAAATTACTTGAGCAGTTTGGACTCCCTCATACCCCATAATTACTTAGTAGTGTGGTGTGGTATCATTGTTTCTTCTAGAAACTTCCACTTAAGTGAAGAAGAACACTGGACTTACCAGGCTGTTTTGGATCAATATCCCAGAGATCTTTTTGCCCGAAGAACTCTGTATCTGGACATGTTACAAAGATATTTTCCTCATAAATCTAGGCATGATCTGGTGAGTACTGGACTCTACATTCTAGGGAGTTACATTGTATCAGTGACCCCATACTGTATTATTTTTTGTTAGATGCCATCAAGAGGACTGTGATTTACAGAGATCCCATGTACAGCAGACCTAATCTTGCCCTATTCTGTGCCTTCCTCATACCTCAATGCTCAAGCCCATTTTTATATTCACTGTGCCAATCCATCTTACTGAGGATTTTTATCTCTTTTGCAGACTCTATTTCCCAGCATTTCTTTCTCCAAGGACTAGTTTCTCCTGAAAATATGCCCAAAGCAACTGAGACAAAGTGCCGTCTTCCTTGTCCTCTAAGGAGAACTCTAGTTGCACTTCCCTTACCACTGATTTGTATTGTCTTTTCAGTCCCCAGTGTTTCCAATTCTCTCTGCCTATACTGCAATTCAAAAGCATTCATTCTTCTTTGTCATCCTTATTTGTTATCCAACTTTCAGAAGTAATTTGAAAATTTTATGGCCAGGATCAGGGAAACCTTAGTCTTTAAACTGATATCTTTGCTCTTTAGAGCTTCGGAGAGGTTCTTGACAGCAGATTTCCCCAATGAAACATGTCCTTTGAATTTTTTGCTGCTGCTACCCTAACCCATAAAACGACAACACAATAATTTTAAATTGAGTTTTAAATTTTTTTCTATATAATGTAGTTTTAAAAAAATAATATAGTTTTAGGTTGCTAATTTGTGCCAAGCACTTGTCAAGTTTAAATAGTCCATATAAAGGGTATGGAAGCACTACTAACAATATTTACTCCTGTGTCTTCTAGCCCCTGAGGTCTTGCTTTGGCTTCCAAGGCTCCTCTCTAGATATGACTCTTTCAGTGTTTTCATCAATTTTAGGCTTTGAGTAAAGGTGGAATGCCTGTACCTTGGGCCATGGAACCTGCTACCTAAGTCCTTCTAGTATTGGGGACATCAACAGTCTTCTTTGGGACTGGATCTTTCCTATACTTTCCTCATCATGGCAGTTCAGCTAGAGCTTCCTAAAAACATCTGAAACACAATAACCCAAAATTCAGATATCAGAGTGTGACTGAAATTTCCCAGAGAATTTAGTAGGGAATTACCGTTTTGTTCTTTTGTTGACAAGACTAGAAAAGCAAGAAAACATTAATTTCCACATCAACAATGAAATTCTTTTTAAATTTTACATTGTTTTGCATACACAATTTGTACACATTGTATTTCTTCCATGAACATTGTGTTTTACACAGTCCTTCATTCACACATTTTGTTTCATACAATCATACCCCTATACTCTGTTTTATAAATTTAATCATTATCGGTCTATGTCCACTATGACCTCACTTTTTTAGATTCCCACTAGATCTGTCCTAATTCCTCCACCCCTTCCCTCTGCCTATAAATGAACCATACTTTAAAAGATTATTACATACTCTGCATTTTGGTAGTTGTTTTAAAATATGCAAGCAACAATAACGATACTGGTCTTTGTAATAGAAGTTGAGTCTGTGTCAATCGTGTAAATTCCTTCAGCAAACAAGATATTGATGAGAAGGGTAGTACTGATTTCTTCATTTTACAAGTGAGTAAACAGAAGCAATAGCCACATAGCTAATGTATTGTGACCATATCTACTACTCTCATCTCTCACCCACCATGTCCCCATCCCCAAGTATGAGTTTTAAATCTGAACTTTATATAAAATATGTGTTACATATGAAACATTCTCTATAGTATTTTTTTAATTTTAAAATGAAACAAGTTATTTTTCAAATTACATCTTCCTTTAATTCCCGTTTGATTCTGTAGAAAGAATTCTGTTGCCAGGTGCCATTTTTAACGTGACAGTTCTTTTAATTTCACAAACATTAACATGATAACCTTTTTTTTATGTTTACTACTTGCATTGGATTAGTTTTTAGGCATGGTAGCCTGTCGTATACCTTTCTTCTTAATCTTTGGCAGGTATTGAGTATATTTTTGCTCTATGGAACAAGCTTAAAATCTTTGTAGAATGCATTTGAGTAGCTGATATTTGGTTTATGTAAGACCTTTGTCTATTTCATTATGTATCTAATTAATAATTCATAAAAGGTTATTTTAAAAAGGAAAAGCCTACCTTATCCTGCTTGATAGTTTCCTGTCTCACACCACTTAGAGACTGAATAATGTATCAAATTCTGAGACTTAGTCTTTATATGCTGGCAAAATTATATATGTATACAGAGAGAGAGAGAGAGATAGCTGTGGTGGCCTAGTAGAAAGATGCTGCCCTGCAATCCCGAAGGCACAAAGCACAAGGCCAACAACTGCTGCGTGGAAGAAGAATGCACAGTCTCCTTCCATCTGATTAACTGCCTCTGAAAACCTACTGAAGGATCTATATGGGTCAGTTATGACTATGGTACACAACAACAATAGATTGATAGATATCTTTAGATTAGTGGCTTTCAACTTCTGGAACACATCTTTATATGATGTGTGCTTCTGAATCACCTGTGGAGATTTTGCAAACTACATAAGTTTCCCTATTCCTGTTCCTCTGTCAATATTTGGTTGGAAATCACCCTTGTACGAGCTATTGTTGCTAATGAGTGTGGGAATGTGAGTGTGCCATGCCCTTCAGGAGTATGAGGTGGAAAGGCAAATGATCATTGTTGCAGTTCTTCAAGTATGAGTATTCTAACATCTGAATATTTCAGTAATTCATAATAAAGCTAATTTTTCCAGGATTATTGTCATAATTTTCTGGTTACTAGCATATTATCTCAATGCAGCACTCAGAGTAATTGTTAGAATACTAAAACTGATTTAAAGATGGGGTATCTAAATTGTATATAGGGAAAATATTGCTCTTTATGGAATCATTCACCTTTGGGAAGTGTAAGTTATTTTAGAAGTCACACAATTGACTACATTTTAGAAGGAAATCAAGGATTTACAAAGGTTCAGTGAGTTGTCCCAGTTATCAGTTAGTCACAGGCTCAGGGCCCTGAAACTGGCACTGGTTCCTGGTTCCTATTTTCCTATAAAGAGCATGTTTGCCCCTGTTGTTGTTGTTGTTATGTGCCATCGAGTCGTTTGCGACTCATAGCGACCCTATGCGATGTTTGCCCCTAGTTTAGCAAAATACTTATTATGATTTATTTTATTTCTTTTGTAATAATTAACTTCTAAATTGTAGGATCATTTTTTCTGATGAAAACTTTTTATTGTCACCTTTTCAGGTGGAGCATGAAAAATATTGTGATCAATATCGGTTTGCTAGGGAGCAGCGAAAGATCTTGATAACAAATTGGAGTAAGAATAGGAAAGACTTTATACAGAAGGCTGTGATGATCCTTGCTGAGGCTTGTGCAACTCATGAAATGGAGTGCACTTTGGCTAAGGATAGGAAAAAGCAACAGGAATTGTGTGCTGATTTGAAAGCCAAGGTAAGGTGCTCTCCTGAAGGTGTTTCAGAATTCACACTAACGTTCCATGTTAAGCATTAAGAATTCACTTTTTCCATTTTCCATACACCCAACCTTACATTCATTTGCTGGAAAAAATAATATATTGAATAAAAATATTAGTTTTAACAATATAAAATTACATTTCCCTTTAGTAAAAAACAATCAACAATTGTATGTCAAACTAAAGCTACTGAAACAAGACATTCATATTACAGAATTAGCTGAAACAGTCAACCTAAGTCCTGACATGTATGTACCACAACTGAATGAACACTTGACAAGATCATGCAGAACTAAGTAAGTCATAAAAAAGACAAATAACTATGTGAAATTAAAAAAAAAATTTAGAAACCGAAGATTATCCTCAGTTACCATTTGTGGAAGAGGTAAAAAGGAGGAGAGCTTTTGTTTTGAGTTTATGTTGATGGCAGTGGAATGATTTTTGGTATAATGGTGACTACAAATTATAGACTACCTAGAAAACAAATGGGTTTATTGGGGTTTGCTTGCTCCTCAGACCCATTTATGGGGCTTTGTGGATAGCTTAGAGGACTGTGAATGTAACACCAGCAATTGGGAAGACTAATGTCTGAGTTGCCCCAGTTGAAGAACTGAAAGCGAGTAACTACCGTACTTGGTTGTACTTGTTACAGCAATAGTTGTGTAGGGAAGTCACACTGAGACTTCACAGTGCACAAATCCTGGACACTGGCTGTGGATATGGTCTCTGGTGGCCAGGTGGTAAAAAGTTGATAATAGTGTTAAGAAAAAAAATAATAGCAAGAAGCTGGTGGGATTGAACTCACCAGCTGCTCTGGAGATGCTCCCTGTGTGATTTATTCCCTCTAAAACTCCCCGGATAGTCAGCTATGGGTCAGTTCTGACTCAATGGCACCCCACATAAAGAGTGTTGGCAAGGGACCACCTACTTTTGCTACCTACCTCATACAGTAATATGAACAAATCTTGATTATCTATAATTGTATAGTAAGAGGCTGATGGAGCAGCAGGAAATGTTCCATTGATAGGAAAAAACCAGGCAGACACTACATTACAGTAATTACTAGTAATTTCGCACAAATACAAATGTTTCTGTTTTAAAACATGAGAGGATAAATGACTGCTTTAGATTTTCTAAACAAAAAAGAATTTTCTTTTAAAATATTGTTGAGGTAAAATAGGCATAATAAACCTAGCCCATCTCAACAATGTCTACATGTGCAATTTTGAAGCATTGATTATATTCTTGATTGATTATATTGATTATATTCTTCAACAACCATTTCCACTATCCTTTTCCAAATCATTCCACTACCATCAATATAAACTCAAAACAAAAACTCTCCTCCTTTTTTCCTCTTCCACACATGGTAACTGAGAATAATCTTTGGTTTCTAAATGTTTTTTTATTTCATATAGTTAATTGTCTTTTTATTACTTACTTAGATGATGTTGTCAAGTGCGTATTCAGTTGTGGTACATATCAGGACTTCATTTCTCTTTATGGTTGAGTAATGTCTCAGTGTGTATATACTACATCTATTTACCCACTTATCTGTTGATGATTGTTTAGTTATTACAACCCTTGGTCTCTTGTGAAAAGTGTGGCAGTGAACATTGGTTTACACCTCTCTGTCTGATTCCTGCATTCTCTTCTGTGTATATACCCAAGATTAAGATTGTGGAGTCCTGTATTCTGTTTTCACCTGTTTTGATGAACCACGAAACTGCTTTTAATTGTGATTATGCTATTTGTCATACTCACCAGCAGTGGACAAGGGTTTCTGTTTCTTTACAACTTTGCCAACATTAGCTATATCTTATCTTCCTTTTTCCTGTAATCATTACCATTATAAGGACAAGAAGGTGGTATCTTAATGTAATTTTGTAACTGATCTGTTTCTAGAAAGCCTTTGCTCACATCCCTGTGACTACTTAGAGGAACCAATGTTTTCTTAAATTTCAAGCAAAATTTTTTTTTTTTTACCTTGTGACTTCTGCTGTCTGCTAGGTAGGTTATTCTGTTATTTTTTGTGGTTGGAGTAGAAATGGCATTTTTCCACATTTCTGCACTCTACTTGATAGCTGGGAATTTGTAATAAAAACAATTAATCTTTTATGTTTTCTGTTCATCTCACACCAAACACATAAATCAACTCAAGGCGGGTCAGAGACCTGAGGACAAAGCCCAAAACCATAAAGTTCATAAGACACAAACTGGGACCAAGCTTAGAAGGCCTAGTCTACAATATAAAGAGACCACCAAATAGAGCCAGAAAAGCACAATCTGAAGAGGATAAAATTGATGAATAAGACCTTCTAAAGATTTTTGCTCATCAAAAATTTTTTTCCAACAGAAAACCTACTGACTGGGGATAAACATTCGGCAATACCCTCTGAGACAAGGGTCTCATAACAAAAGTTTACACTATCTGACAGGGCCTCCAGAAGAAAAAGACTGATAATCCAATTATAAAATGGGTAAAAGATATGGAAAGACTTTTCACAGATGAGAATATTTGGATGACCAACAGACACATGGATAATTGCTCCCAATCACTGGCAATAAGAGTGAGATACCATATCATCGGAGTAGCAGTGGCAAAGTTTAGCAGGGTAGTAAGTAATAAATGTTGGAGAGGATGTGGTGAGATAGGAACTTTTGTATATTGTTGGTAGAATTCTAAAATGGTACAACCACTCTGGAAGGCAGTTTGGTGTTTCCTCAAAACACTGAACATAGAAATTCCATAGAAGCAGCTCTTCCATGGCTTGGAGTATACCCTGAGGAAATGAGAACTGAGGTACAAATAGATACTTGTACACCAATAGTCATAGCAGTGATATTCATCACAGTAAGAACATACAAACAACCTAAATGCCCAACCACAATGGAATGGGTTGAGAAATTATGGTACATTCACAGAGTAGAATACTGTGTAGCACACAAGAGCAATGATTTTGTACATTACTATCTAACATGGGAGGTACTAGAGAGCATTATTCTAAGTGGAATAACTCAGTCTCGTAAAGATAAATACTGTATAAGATCATTGTTGTAGAATGAGTGCAAAGTTCTAAGGGCTTAATTATAAGGTCACACAATTTGATGGCTGGAGGAAAGTGTGGGTAAAGGAAAGGGAAAAGATCTGGTGTGGAAAACATTGTATACAAACATTATGAACTTTATAAGTAAATTAGTATAAAATGTAAAAAAAAAATATATGTTTAGTGGCATGGGGTCCTTTTCAAAGGCATTTTGCCACAAGATTCTTTTGCACTACAGGGACACTGTCAGCAGGTGAGAGGAGTACGAAAGCAGTGGGCAGGGAAAGCAAAAAGTGAGAGTGTGGTGGGCAGAAGAAGAATAGCCAGTCCAAGGAAAGCATACATGGCCCACATCAAGAAAATATTGCTATAACAGCCTAGCCAGCATTCAAGGCAACAGAAGTGGCAGGAGGGCAAGAGTCAGTATTCTGTACTTTAGGACAGCATCAGTTATCAACCAGATAAATACTTTGCTATCCTATTCTTTATTTCTATTCCTCTTATCTTTCACCATCCTTGGATCCTGACAGACAAAAACATCTAGGGTATAATGTCATTGTTGATATGTGCTGTCGAGTCCTTTGCGACTCATAGTGACCCTATGTACAACAGCCCTAAACCCTGCTCTATTCTGTGCCAA